TGCAGTGAGTAGAGTGGTGCTGACTGGTAGAGGTGCAGCAGCGAAGCAGTTCAAGGGCGAGCTGGTGTTTGTGTTGTCAACGGGTCGGACTCGGAGTCACAGCCAGTGCACAAATACTTTGGCACGGATCCCAAGGACACCTCGGTGAGTGCAGTGCGGTGCACCGCGGTGAAACGCAGGTGCAGTGTGGTGCAGTGCGATGCAATGCAGTGTGGTGGAAGTTCAAGGGCGAGCTGGGTGCAGTCAGCGGGTCGGACTCGAGTCGCAGCCAGTGCACGAGTACTTTGGCACGGATCCCAAGGACACCTCGGTGAGTGCAGGAGGTGCAGTGCAGATGTTTTCACTGCCACTAACTCTTTGACCCCATTACTGCAAGTGATCACGTTTTTCATGGGAGAAGAGGTACATGGTACAGCTTCCAAGTCCATTCAAACAAAATCATAACGGCTCTCTTGTGCGCTCTTGCTCACCCCTGTTGGGCTGCCTGCTTTCTTCCCGTGTGCAGGTCATGGGGTTCTTTATGGGAGATGAGGAGGACCCCGCGTCAACCGCTGGAGGGCTCAAGTACCGTATGAAGGAGGCGATCACTGAGGCCAGCATGAAGGTGAGGACGCATGATGGTGGGGGGATAGATGAAGCATCACGGTGGGAGAGAGTCGAGGTAACCTCGCTCGACACTGGAGTGATTAAGTACCGTATGAAGGAGGTGATTACCGAGGCCAGCATGAAGGTGAGGAAGCATGATGGTGGATGGTGGGCGAGTGTCAAGGTAGCCTCGTGAAGGGCCCCTGGTCAACCGGTGGGCCAGTACTCAGCCCTGCGTCAACTGCTGGGCCAGTACTCAGCCCTGCGTCAACTGCTGGGCCAGTACTCAGCCCTGCGTCAACTGCTGGGCCAGTACTCAGCCCGGTAACCGGGCCATATAACGTGTACACTGTTCACCTTCTCCCTTGCCCTTCCTCCAGGCATTCGCCAAGAGCTTTATTTGACGGGGATCAGTTTTGAAGCCCCGTTATTCATTGTGGAGCCCCTTAGTCAAGAACTACGTGAATGGACCATATATCCTCTATATTCTGGCCTTTCCCTTGCACTCCTTTCAGGCATTCGCCAAGAGCTTCCTCGCTGGGGATTTGAAGCCCTTTTACAAGTCCGAGCCTGCTCCAGAGAAGGTCAGTCAGCGAGGTCTGGCGAGGCATGAACTGCAGGGCTGACAGGGTTTCGGGTGCACTGTGCAACGTAAACCAGAACGGTTTCTGAGGCGCCTCAAAAAGGCATGAACTGCAGGGCTGACAGGGTTTCGGGTGCACTGTGCAACGTAAACCAGAACGGTCTCTGAGGCGCCTCAAAAAGGCATGAACTGCAGGGCTGACAGGGTTTCGGGTGCACTGTGCAACGTAAACCAGAACGGTCTCTGAGGCGCCTCAAAAAGTCAAGAACTGCAGGGCTGACAGGGTTTCGGGTGCACTGTGCAACGTAAACCAGAACGGGGATCTGAATCCTCTCTAGAGCACCGAAGCCTGCTCCAGAGAAGGTCAGTCTGGAGAGTCCTACACTGCAATGCATCAGTAATGTTATCGAGGTTTCTCAAGTCTGACAAGCGAAAGAAATTTACATATGCGTACTTATCCCCTTATCCCGCTATCCCACTGCCCCCCCGTTTCTCTCTCCCCATGTCTCTCAGAACGATGGCCGCGTGATCGTGGTGGTGTGCGATGCCTTTGAGAAGATATGCTTTCTCCGATCAGGCTTCAAAGGCGCTTTATGCATTCCCGCCTCTCCGCCCACGACACCTCTGTCCCGTCATCCCTCTGTCCCCCATGTCTCTCAGAACGACGGCCCCGTGACTGTGGTGGTGGGCGACACGTTTGAGAAGATTGTGCTGGATGAGTCAAAGGACGTGTTGCTGGAGGTGAGAGAGGGGCTAGGGGAGGGTAGGGGAGGGTAGGGGAGGGTAGGGGAGGGTAGGTGAGGGTATGGGAGGGTAGGGGAGGGTAGGGGAGGGTAGGTGAGGGTAGGGGAGGGAAATCATGAGTATTGGCTGTTGCGGGTGCTGGTGGTGGGCGATACTTCTGAGAAGATTGTGCTGGACGACTCCAAGGACGTGCTGTTGGAGGTGAGAGGAGGGTGGGAGAACGGTACGACGCGGTATTGCATAGTGCGGGGGAAAGAGAAGGGGTGGCTGGTTGGGGGTGCTGGTGGTGGGCGATACTTTTGAGAAGATTGTGCTTGATGAGTCCAAGGACGTGTTGTTGGAAGTGAGAAGCATCAAGGGGGGAGGGGGGGTGGGGGAGAGGGCCGGGTGGAGTGGAGGTACGGAGGTGAATCTGGTTGGGTGGGCGATGGGCATTTGCATATTCTGCCTCTTTGGTCTCCATTCCCTTTTTCTTCCCCCGCCCTGCCTCCTCCCTTCCCCCGCCCTGCCTCCTCTCTTCCCCCGCCCTGCCTCCTCTCTTCCCCCGCCCTGCCTCCTCTCTTCCCCCGCCCTGCCTCCTCCCTTCCCCCGCCCTGCCTCCTCTCTTCCCCTCATGTGTACCCCCCCTGGTGCGGCCACTGCAAGTCCCTGGAACCCACCTACATGAACCCTGAGTCTTAACCACGGTTCTGTCCCTTATTCGCCCCCTCCCTCTGCTCCCGTCAGGTGTACGCCCCCTGGTGCGGCCACTGCAAGTCCCTTGAGCCCACCTACAAGAAGCTGGGGAAGCGATTCGCGTCGGTGGACTCTGTTGTGATCTCCAAGATGGACGGGACTGCCAACGAGTATCCTGGCCTGGAGGTATGTGTGTGTTAGGGTAGTGTAAGTGTGTCTGTTGTCACTGCACATACATGTCGGTGGACTCTGTTGTGATCGCCAAGATGGACGGGACTGCGAATGAGTACCCTGGCCTGGAGGTGCGTGGGAGGGGGAGGTTTAAGGGGTTGAGGTGTGTGGGAGGGGGAGGTTGTGTAAGGGGTTGAGGTGCGTGTGGGGGGAGGGGAGGAGAGTGATGTGAGGCAAATGAAGAATTCAGGTGCATGTGGGAGGTTGTCTGAGGCAAGTTTCAGCTGGCTAGTCTTTTGCATGTGTAGACTCTGTTGTGATTGCCAAGATGGACGGCACGGCCAACGAGTACCCTGGGCTGGAGGTGTGTGGCTGTTGAGTGGGCTGGATGTGCATATATGTGCATATGGTGAGCAAGCTACAGCTAGCATATGTTGTGATTGCCAAGATGGACGGCACGGCCAACGAGTACCCTGAGCTGGAGGTGTGTGGGGGAAATCATGCGAGTCACTCTGTTGCCTTTTTGACTGTCTTTGCACTTTGTGTAACCTGCTTTCTCATCCCCTCTGTCTATGTGTCACTCCCTCCCTCTACCCACGTTATATCCTCTCTGTTATGCCTTTCTGTCAAATTCTCTGCCTAGGTGCACGCTCTCTGCTTTCTCGCACCCTTTCTGCCCAAGTGTCACCCTCTGCCTGTGTCTCACCCCCTCTCTGCCCGCGTGTCATCCTTTATGAATGCAGGTTGAGGGTTTCCCAACTATCTTCTTCTACCCGGCAAACAAAAAATCTGACCCAGTAAGCCCAGTCTCTCAATCCTTCCCCCATTCCCTTCGCTTTCACACCACTCCCTCTTTCCCCAACCAACTTCTTCTACCCGACCAGGCCAGCAAGAAATTCGACCCAGTAAGCCCCCCTCCCTCCGTCTTCCTCCTAGCGCTCTCAAACCCTCCCCTCTTCTTCTTTCCCATCTATCTTCTTCTCAAACCCTCAACCCTCAAACCCTCAACCCCCCTCCCTCCGTCTTCCTCCTAGCGCTCTCAAACCCTCCCCTCTTCTTCTTTCCCATCTATCTTCTTCTCCCGGACAACAAGAAATCCGACCCAGGAGGCCCATTCTTTCAACCCCCCCTTCTCCCCTCCCTTGCCCACCTTCCCTCCTAGTGCTCTCAAACCCTCCCCTCTTCTTCTTTCCCATCTATCTTCTTCTCCCGGACAACTAGAATTCTGACCCCGTAAGCCCACTTTCTCAAACCCCCCCTTCCCCACCACCCCATCCTGCCCCTCCCCTTCCTCCTTGTCCTAGTGCCCTCAAACTTGGCAATCAAGTAGTACAATCCACGAAGCTGAAGCAGTTTATCAAGGTGATATTTGAAAAGCTGGATGCAGGAATTTACTTGGACCGCCTCCTTCCCCCTGCCGTTCCCCCTTCCCTTTCCCATTAATCTCCCTTAACCGCAGGTGAAAGTGCAAGCCACGAAGCTGAAGCAGTTTATTAAAGTGATCGTCGAGAACGCTGCCATCAAGTTTGAACTGCCGGCCAAGGAGAAGGATTCACCAGCAGCAGCTGAGGGTGAGGGGCTTGCAGAGGCAACTGGGGAAGAAGTGAAGGATGAGCTATGAGGCATGGTATAAGCAATGAGCTATGAGTTACAAGCACTGAGCCGTGGTCTAGACTTGGTGAGAGGTTGGTTGGAAAACAATTCCATGAGTCATTCTACTGGCACATTTTACCAGAAAGGCATCAAGTACGCCAGGATACTCTGACTAGTGACAGTTATTTTCAAGTGGATTTTTTGTGAAAGCTTTTCGGGACAGGGCAGTTCAGTGGAGAGGAGATGTGGAACTGAAAAGATTAACTTATTTGACTGGGAAGGCTACTTGGAGGAGCGACAGACACAGGCAGATTACAAAGGTCTACCAAAGGGTTCACATAATCAAGCCACTCATGGCACTGTCTGGGACTGGAACAAGTCGAGCGTTTTGATACGCAGTCTTTATTCTACCATTGTGGCATTTTGGAATGTAATCCGGACGCCCTAGCTGCTGGAGTTGTGACTTCTGCTGCTTCTTAGGTGAAATTTTGGGCCAGATGCTGAATAAATGTGTATATTCGGTTGGAGAATTCATTCTCCCATCCATGCACAATGGGGTCATTCCGTATAAGGTCAAAGCATCTTGTGGTCCAACTAGGATGCCCGCTATAGTAATCTCCGTTACTCGACACAAACAGTGTCATTCCGTCTACATTACTTTCCCGTCAAGAGTACTGGGAAACGCGATCGCATCCGTGGTGTGAACGATGAGCTTGCCAGGCTTGACGTAGAAGTTCAGCTTGGTAATAGCCATCGTGCTGCCCTTCTTCCCCTGCAGCACAATCTGCCCCTTCTTGTTGTTCGCCAGCTTCTGCAGCGTCATTGGCTTGCCGTTTTTGAACGTGGTCAGCGTGGTGATGTTTTTTCCCTCGGGCAGCGATTTGAGCACGTCGCCAGGAATGACTTCTTTGAATGCGCTGAAGCCGACAAGCGCTGCGAGCTCCGTGGTTTTGTACGACGTGATCTTCACCTTCTTGATTGCGTCGTTGCTGGGAACGAGCATCGTCAGCGGTTTAGAGGGTGCGGCTTTAACCTCCTTGATTTTGCCTGAAGTGGAAAATACCGAGGATGGGAGGATCATTGGGATGAGGGAGGAGGTGGAGATGGGATTAAAACGAATCTTACTAATTTCATTTAGCGTGAATCGAGAAATAGAGTGTGCTGTGGGAAATTTATGTGGGATAGAAAATGAGAGGTTCAGTGCTATGCGCATTCATGGCCGTCCGCACTGCTTCGCGTGCGTGTTTCATCGTAGTGCTCTTCCCGGCTCTCACCGTAAGCATTGACGAGGGAGACGAAGTTGGTGTAACCAGAGTCGTTGAGCTTCTTGATCGCCTCGTCAAATGGCGTCTTCGGCGCTGCTGGCGTCGCACCCCCATTCGACTTGGACACAGACGTTGTTTTCGGCGGCGAAGTTGTTGTTTTTGGGGTGGGCTGAGCCGAGCAGACGACAGCGAGACCAACGAGTGCTAGCAGCAGAATGGCGGATTGAGAACTCGACATGGCTGAGAGAGAGGGTGAGAAAGAATGGGTTTGATCAGCGATGTCGAGTTCAACCCGTTTTGTTTGGGGCTTGCAAACTGAGTCGATCAAGGGGTGATGGTTGCCGAGGAATGATGTATCGTTGATCTGATGTAGAGTTTATACACCCAAATATCAGAAAACATTCGGGTGTCGTGTCGCGTTTCCGGTGCTCAAGTTTCGGGTTCCGAGTTTGACGCACTCAGCGTTGAACGCGGCGGCGATAACGGCTCCCGCATTCAAGTCAATAAGCCAACGAAACCATTCACTGCAGTGCGACGAGAAAAGACTGCACGCGACTGATGCAACATGATCAGAAATTTCCTTTTGACAGAAAACTGTATCCACTTGCCGTTACAAATACAATCCGCTATTCGCCCACCCGAGACCAGAAGCGCATCACGCTGCTCGCGAAAGCCCTGGCGATCGGACTGCTGAGTTGTCGGATGTCGTGGATTCGACACCAAAACCTGTAGGCGATTGTGGAGGGGAATGGGTTAGAGTACATCTCTCGTGTACTCGATATAGATTCACTTCATACAGCTCTTTGAGACTAGTTATATGTTCTGACACCAGATACCAAGCCGCAAATTCTATTTTACATCGCACGCCGACAGTCCATTGCCTGTCGGCAGGTGTGACTGCGTCGCTCGATCGCAGCATCCGCTCCAGGCCATCGCAAAACCGACAGCAACCCGTTTTGACGAGGGGAGGAGGGAAATGAATTCTGACGCCACCGTCCACACCCACGTCGCAAGGCTTACATGCGAAGCGAATGTCGAGTAGATTTAATCGAGGTGCTCTGATTGGTCGTGTGCAAGTTTCCTTGAACGCATCGCATCCCATTCTTAGGAAAATGTCCCGCGCGAAACCCGAAGGGCCGTTATTTGTAGAGGTTTTTTATCGGAGCGTGCCCTGACCAATCGTTTTGCCGTTTGGCAACCACGTATTCGAGTCGCGCTGCCCGAAGGTCAGGAAACGATTCTGAAATTCCACAGAAACTCACAAATGCTGAATGCGAGACTTGGAGGTACAAATTCGGTGTTCCACTTCGCTAATCATCATCAATTCACATTCCTCTGCTCCTCTTTCCAACAGTCGTCTCCGCATTTCTCCACACAACAGTTCGGAGCACAATTGATAGCCCTTGCACCGCTTCAATCGGTCTTCTTCTCTCGCCGGATCCTGCTGAGTCATCCACTAATCCTTCTTTCCGCAATCATGACCGTCCCTCGATCCGCTCTTCTCCTCGTTGCTCTCGTGGGCTTGGCCGTTGTCTGCTCGGCTCAAACTCCCGCGCCCAAAACAACAACTGCGCCCAAGACCGCGGGGGCGCCGGCCGCGCCGCTGACGCCGTTCGACGAGGCCATTCAGAAGCTCAACAAATCCGGATTTACTAGCTTCGTCTCCCTTGTCAACGCCTACGGTACGAACCGCGAAGCGCCGCGACGAACCGCAGCGAGCCACGAACTTTGTGAATGCATCACCGACTTCACTGCTTCGTTTTCCGAATACATTCTGTTCCAAAGCGTCTCATTGTGTCTCACAGTTCCCCCTATCGTAATCTTATTCTCCCCCTACGTTGCTCATATTCCCTTCATCCAACCCGCGCGTCTCATCCCCCCGCCCGGTCTCTTCCTCCTCACACGCAAGATGAAGGAGGTCAAGGCGGCTCTCTATTATTGTGTCTCATTATTGTGTCTCATTGTTGTGTCTCACAATGTTTTCAATCTGTTATCCATTTTCCCGCGCGTCTCTTTCTCCTCACACGCAAGATGAAGGAGGTCAAGGCGGCTCTCTATTATTGTGTCTCGTCATTGTGTCTCGTCATTGTGTCTCGTCATTGTGTCTCGTCATTGTGTCTCGTCATTGTGTCTCGTCATTGTGTCTCGTCATTGTGTCTCGTCATTGTGTCTCGTCATTGTGTCTCGTCATTGTGTCTCGTCATTGTGTCTCGTTATTGTGCCTCGTTATTGTGCCTCGTTATTGTGCCTCGTTATTGTGCCTCGTTATTGTGTCTTACAATGTTGTCAATCTGTTATCCATTTTCCCGCGCGTCTCTCCCTCCTCGCAGGCAAGATGAAGGAGGTCAAGGCGGCTCTCTCCAAGCCTCTCACCATGCTGGTGCCGTCGAATGCGGCGATCGGCAAGCTGCAAATCACCAAGTACAAGTCAACAGAGTTGATGGTGGTCGTCGGATTCTCCGCCTTCAAGAAAGTCATCCCCGCCGACGCTCTCAAGAGCCTGCCCGAGGGGAGCAACATCACGACGCTCGCGAGCACCAAGGCGGGCAAGCCAATGACACTTCAGAAGCTGGCGAACAACAAGAAGGGGCAGGTGGTGCTGCAGGGGAAGAAGGGCAGCACGATGGCTATTACGAAGCTTAACTTCTACGTCAAGCCCGGCAAGCTCGTCGTGCATACCACGGATGCTGTTGCCTTCCCCACCACGCTCCAGGGCAAGGTACTGTAAATGGCAGAGCAACTTGTTATTCATGGTTCGCAGCTGATACTAACGAAGGGTTACTTCGCGGCTTCACGCTTTGCCGCGTCCGTCTTCCTCTGGACGTTACTTGGTGAAACGTACCGTAGTAGAAGCTTTTCTTAGGGAAACGTAGTAGAGACGTCTGACGGCCTTTAGCCAGTAGCGTTTTAGCTTGAAACGATCTGCTGGTGCTTTAGGGTGAATTCGAACCTGAACACTGTAAAGCGTTCTCAATATACTTGTTCCTTTTACATTCTGGTCCCGGGTATTTTTGGGATCGAGAGAGGGGACATAGACTATGGAGAAGTCCAATCTGGGACCGTACTTCATAATGTACGGATTGGTCTTGTGAGCTATTTATTCACCACGCATAGCTACTGGGTTTGAAGGGAAACACAAGCAAAATCTTCATGACGACATACAGCAAAAAATCAGGGGAAGGATCTTAAACCCTATTATATACACACGGGTGACGTCATCACATGCCGCCCCGCCCGCCCTGGCACAAATGACATTCGAGGCAAAACGAAAAACCCGCGGAATCCCTCCGGTCCCCCAGAAATTCCCGGCTGACCAGGCCAAAAAACCCCCCGAAACCCGCGGGTTCAATGTCGTATTCTAATGACAATATATATGTCAACCGTAACAGTGGAAATTGATAGAGCTCGACGGGAGACGACTCGATATACTATTGTATAGTTAAAAAAAAGTGTTTCGTATCTCAAAATATCAGCCAAGGCCCTAAAATTAATATACTTTTGTAAAAAGCAAAAGCAAAGCATCTAATTTCACTAGACAGAATCAACACAATTGTGAGCCAGCAACTTGAATCACTTTCATAACCCCAACCCCCATTTTTTTGTTCCCCATCCCCCGCAATTTCATACAGAGAATCACATGTCCATGCTAAATCCATGATTGTCATGCTTGACAGCTGATCTGGACCTAGGAAATGTCTTTCCTAGCGCTCCTCCCTCATTAAATAATGCTCCAGAGCCACCCTCATGTAGCACCTGATAGGTATCTGCAAATTCACCTGAACCTGAGCTTCCCATCTGATATGCAGCTTCCGTTTCAGAGCTCATCACCCTCTTCGGAGAAACGCGTTCAAGCTTTCCACTGTAGCTCGCGCCCATCCAATACGCAGCTCTTCTCTGCGGGTCATCCATCCCCCTTATAAGCTTCTTCTTCCCCTTAGTAACCACCTCGGAGGAGAATCGGCAGGACTGCGATCGGAGCGAGCGAGAAGGGTTTCGGGCGGATTGCAGAGGGCCAATGGGTTGCAATTGCAACACAGGTTGGGTCTGAGGAAGGAGCGGGTCGCCCAGGTCGAACCGACGCATTGGAACGGTGAGGAGGGCATTATCCGCGTCGGGTAGAAGCAACCGCGATGGCCGTCGATTCAACAGATTCTGATGGAACAACACCCCCCCTTGCTGCTGCTGCTGCGGCTGCTGAGAAGAATCCTCACTTGCAACTGATGAGTTGGCACTAGCAGGAAAAGGAGCAGCCTGCAGCACTGCTCCCCGAAACTTTTTGCCAAAAGAATCGCTTAATGAAAGGTTTCTCCTGGTATGCATGCTTCTGCTGTCAGGGACCCCTAACGGCTCAGCCGCTGCCTCTCCTGGTGCCACTTCTTCCTGTAAAAGCCACTTTTGAGGCGCCTCAAAAGAAACCTTCCCTGATGCCACTTCTCCCTGTGAAAGCCTCCCTGCGGGCCTTGAGCTGAAAGAGTTGAAACTGCTGCTTCCGCTCGCACGCAGGTCCCTTTCTTGAGTCGACTCAAAAATCGACTCACCCACTGCCTCTCCTGGTGCCACTTCTCCCTGTGAAAGCGTCCCTACCGGCCTTGATTTGAAACTGCGGCTTCCATTCAAACGCAAGTCCCGTTCAGTTGCCATGCCGATGACAATGCTGCTGCAGCTTCGACTAAAAGACTTGCTATTGGTGGTCCTGGTGCTGCTCCTGGTGATGTCGGTGACTTGGGTGCTGCTCCTGCTTTGAGACGTCTCGCTTCCAGCTACTGCGCCGATGGCAATGCTGCTGCAACTCCAATTGGGTGACTTGCTACTGGTGGTCCTGGTGATGTCGGTGACTTGGGTGCTGGTCTTGTTTTGAGACGTCTTGCTTTCAGCGACTGTGCCAATGACAATGCTGCTGCAGCTTCGACTAGGCGCCTTGCTACTGGTGCTCCTGGTGCTGCTCCCGGTGCTGTCGGTGACTTGGGTGCTGCTCTCAGCTACTGTGCCGATGGCAATGTTGCTGCAACTCCAATTGGGTGACTTGCTATTGGTGGTCCTGGTGCTGCTCCTGGTGCTGTCGGTGACTTGGGTGCTGCTCCTGCTTTGAGACGTCTTGCTTTCAGCGACTGTGCCAATGACAATGCTACTGCAGCTTCGACTAGGCGCCTTGCTACTGGTGCTCCTGGTGCTGCTCCCGGTGCTACCAAGGGTTTGAATACTGACCTTGCTTTGAGACATCTCAAGATTTTGAGACGTCTCAAAACGCGACTTGCTATTGACAATTCCGATGGTGGTGGTGGTGGTGGTGCTGCTGCTGCTGCTGATGGTGCTGCTGCTGCTGCCGCTGCTGCCGCTGCTGCCGCTGCTGCTGCTGCTGCTGCTGCTGCTGCTGCTGCTGCTGCTGCTGCTGCTGCTGCTGCTGCTGCTGCTGCTGCTGCTGCTGCTGCTGCTGCTGCTGCTGCTGCTGCTGCTGCTGCTGCTGCTGCTGCTGCTGCTGCTGCTGCTGCTGCTGCTGCTGCTGCTGCTGCTGCTGCTGCTGCTGCTGCTGCTGCTGCTGCTGCTGCTGCTGCTGCTGCTGCTGCTGCTGCTGCTGCTGCTGCTGCTGCTGCTGCTGCTGCTGCTGCTGCTGCTGCTGCTGCTGCTGCTGCTGCTGCTGCTGCTGCTGCTGCTGCTGCTGCTGCTGCTGCTGCTGCTGCTGCTGCTGCTGCTGCTGCTGCTGCTGCTGCTGCTGCTGCTGCTGCTGCTGCTGCTGCTGCTGCTGCTGCTGCTGCTGCTGCTTCTGCTGCTGCTGCCGGTGCTTTGGGTGCTGGTCTTGCTGTTGTTGCTCTGTCTTGTAGTTCTAAAGCTGCTGCTGCTGCTGCTGCCGCCGCCACCGCCGTCGCCGCTGCTGCTGCTGTTGATGTAACTGTTGTTACTGCTGCTGCTGTTGCCAGTGCTGGCACCAACAATAGGGTACGCCCCAAAGCTCTTGCTCTTCCTGGTTACCTTCCCATTCTTCGTCCCAGCTAAATGACCCTGTGTGTGAGTGTGTGAATCAGGGTGTGGATCAGTGTGTGAGTGAATGTGTGGTTGAGTGTGTGAGTGAATGTGTGGTTCAGTGTGTGACTGTGTGTGTGCGTCAGTGTGTGAGTGAGTATGTGGGTCAGTGTGTGGATCGGTGTGTGTGTGATTGTATAAGTGAGGTTCACGAGAGGAGGTCTGGGTCTGATCAGCAGGCAAATACGACGAGAGAGAAGGCGCTCGGTGGTGAAAAGTCTGTTGCTTAGCTAAACACTGCTGCAATGGGACTGACTCTCGAGTAACTGAGCCCGTTTCTTGGCTAAGTGGCGGCGGTACTTGCTTAAGTGCGCGCAGCTCCTGGCAAGCAGAGACCAGCACTTGGTTAAGCGCTGCTTGGTTAAGCGCTGCTTGGTTAAGTGCTGCTTGGTTAAGCGCTGCCTGGCTAAGCGTGCTTAGGCTGGGTGGCTCGGATTGGGGCAGACCTGTGCTGCGAAGAGTGAGAGCACGAGGCACGTAGAGAGGCTTGGAAGAAGGCTTGGAATTAGGCTTGGGAGGGGAGAGGGGCTTGGAAGAAGGCTCGGGAGGGGAGAGAGGTTGGGAAGAAGGCTCGGGGGAGGAAAGAGGTTTGGGCTTGGAAGAAGGCTTGGGGGGAGATAGATGGGTGAGGGAATACTTTTTGGGTGAGGTGGCCTTTTGGCAAAGGGACGGGACGAGTGCTGGTAAGTGGGAGCAGAGTTGAGAGAGGGAGGGAGAGGAGTGGTGGTGGTCCAGAAGGTGAGGGTTGAGATGAAAGAGGGAAGGAGGTGAAGAGAGTGAGTGAGAGTGTGATGGGGTTCGAGTTGACTGGGCGTCTGATGAAGGAGAAAGCTCATGGGGTGGTGATGGGTCTTGACATCCTGATGGTTGATGGTTTGACCATGAGTTATCGGTTGGCAATAAGTTACCGATTGGCGATAGGCTTTCGATTGGAGATCGGCTTTCGGCTGGCGATAGGTTATCACGAGATGAGGACCTCTTGAGTGGAGGCAGCGGTTGGGAGGGGTGAAAAGAGATGGAGGGTGGTGATTGGGAGAAAGAGAGGGCTTGAGGAAAGGTGAGAGAGGAGGAAGACGAAAGGGAGGAGCGAGTAGAGGGAGGAGGGGAAGGCGAAGCGGAAGGGGGGAGTGGGGAAGGCGAAGAGCGTTGAGCGTTTGGGGGAGATTGGTTGATGGGAGGAGAAAGGGCAACGGAGGGCGGGGTGGATTGGGGTAGGGAGGAGGAGGGCAAAGTAAGAGAAACGCCAGCAAGTGAAGGTAAGGACTTGGAGGGTAGGTCTGATAAAGAGCGAGTGTGAGAAGGGGCGACGGAGAGGGGCCACGAGAAGGGGGGGGATTGGGAGGGGGACCCGCGACGCGAACTTATCTGATACTGCCCGTTGGAGCTTATAACGAGGATCTGAGACTCTTGGGAAAAGCTCAGCCGTTGTGTAGTGGACTGTGAACGGGGCACCCGAGGCGGAGACACCTGAGGGGACACCTGAGCGGACACCTGAGGGGACTCCTGGGGGGACGCCTGAGCGGACACCTGAGGAGACACCTGAGGGCTTATGGTGAAGGTAAGGTCCCGAGGAAAGCACATACTGGCCGATGATAAGGATGGCGGGTCAACTAACGAAAACGAGTTTGTTTTTAACGCGTATGGAGCTGGCTTGTCAGCAGCAGTAGCAGCAGCCGCAGCAGGAGCAGGGGGAGGAGGAGCAGCAGGGGCAGCAACAGCAGCACGACTTGCAGGAGGAAATGTGGGCGGCGTCTGACGGACTGTGCTTTTGCGGGGGGAAGGGGGGAAATCAGTGGTGGGGGAGAATGCGGCTCCACAGGCGGAGGAGGGGCCAGCGCGGGGGGGGGAAGGGGCAGCGCGGGGGGAGGAAGGGGCAGCGCGGGGGGAGGAAGGGGCAGCGCAGGGGGGTTGGGCGCGGGGGGAGGATATCGTGCTGCTGAAGGAATGGGCGGCAGTTCCGCGTGGGGAAGGGGGGAAGGCGTGGGGGAGCGCGCGCCCCCGCGGGGAAGGGGGAAGACCCGGAGGAAAAGCGCGTCCGCGTGGGGAAAGGGGGAAAGCGGAGGGGAACGCAGGTTCGCGAGGGGATGACGTGGCGGATTGGGAGGGGGAGAGTGCGTGTGATTGCGATGGGGATGCAATGGAATGTGATGGGGAGAGTGAGTGTGAGCGGGAGGCGATGGAGTGTGAGGGGGAAATGCCGTGTGGTTGTGACTGGGACAGAGAGACGATGGATTGGGAGGGGGAGATGATGGATGGGGAGGTGGTTTGGGAGAGTGAGGGTGAGTGTGAGGGAGTGAGGGATAAAAGGAGGGAGGGTGAGGAGGAGGAAACTCCTGAAGGGCTCCCTCTAGTGACTGCAGAGGATGAATGCATGCTTGCCGAACCTGAAGACACCGAACCTGCGGCTGTCAAACCTGTGGATGCCAAACCAGCTGAAGCCAAACCTGCTGTGGCGGGGGCATTCATAGCTGAGCGGGAACGCTGGTGTAACGCGGACTGCCTCTGGTACCGCTGCTCCTGCTGCTGCTGCTCGTCCAGATCTGGCTCTTGCTCCCTGTCGCCCTGTGGAAACCCCTCGAATGCTACATTCACGACTTTGACTAGGTTCACTGCATTCACAGCTGAACGAGAGCGATGGTGCAACACGGACTGCCTCTGCTGCTGCTGCTGCTGCTGCTGCTGCTGCTGCTCGTCCGGCTCTGCCTCGCGTTCGCCCTGTGGAAACCCCTCGAATGCTACACTCATGGTGTTGACCGCGTTGACCGCATTCACAGCTGAACGGGAGCGATGGTGCAACGCGGATTGCCTCTGGTGCCTCTGCTGCTGCTGTGTGGTTTGCTGCTGCTGCTGCTGCTGTTGTGTCCTCGCCTGCTGTTGCTGCTGCTGTATCTGCTGTTGTGGCTGCTGCTGCTGCTGCTGCTGCGACGGCGGAGGCTGTAGCTCCCCTCTCACCTGATGATGGGGCCCCTCATACACCCCATTGACCGCGTTGACCGCGTTGACCGCCTCATACACCCCGTTGACCGCGTTGACCGCGTTTGACGTGTAGGAACGCGACCTATGGTGCAGCGCAAGGGACCTCTGAAGTTGCTGCTGCTGTGACTGCAGCAGCTCTGCTGCCCCATCTCCCTCTGCCTCACACACCCTGCTGACCCCATTGACCCGGTTTCCGGCATTGACCCCGCTTCCTGCGTTGACCTCGCTGATCCCGCTGACCGCGTTGACAGTGTTGACCCCATTGACCGCGTTTGACGTGTAGGAACGCGACCTATGGTGCAACGCAAGGTGCCTCTGTCGCTGCTGCGACTGCTGCTCTGCTTCCCCATCTCGATCTGCCTCACACAAGCCTTTGACCCCGTTGACCGCGTTGACCGCGTTGACCGCGTTGTCCTCGTTGACCAGTGAGGAAAGCGACCGGTGGTGCAGGGCGGAGAACCGCCGCCGCTGCTGCGACCCCTCCAGCAGCCGCTGCAGCTGCGCTGCTGCCCTTGCCGCTTCCGCCCTGTGCCTATCCGCCTCCTCCTTTATCCTATCCGCCTCCGTCCTGTGCCCGCGAATATCTGCCTCGTCGTTAACCCTAGTCAACGCGCTGACCTCCGCCCTGTGCCTATCCGCCTCCGCTTTTATCCTATCCGCTTCCGTCCTGTGCCCTTGCCTGTCCGCCTCACCGTTGACCCTAGTCAACGCGCTCGCCTCTGTCCTGTGCCCATGCCTGTCCGACTCGTCGTTGACCCTAGTCAACGCGCCCGTCCCCTCCTGCCGCTCCCATACAGTCTGCCCAAACACCTCCACGAAATCGTCGTCTGAGTCGACTGACGGGCGCGAGTCAGCCTTCAGTCGCGCCAAAACGTCTAGAGACTGCTTCACCCGCTGTGCCTCCTGCGTTCTTTGCGTCTCCTGCGTCTGCTTAACCCGTTGCGTTTCCTGCGTTCGTTGCATCCCATGTGCCTTCAGCTCCTCCTGCGTCTGCCCGAAAACCTCCACGAAACCGTCGTCCGAGTCAACTGACGGCCGCGAGTCAGCCTTCAGTCGCGCCAACACGTCTAGAGACTGCTTCACCCGCTGCGCCTCTTGCGTTCTTTGCGTATCCTGCGCTTTTTTACCCTCCTGCGACCCTTGCGACTGCTTCAGCTGCTGCTGCGGTGATTGCTGCTGCTGCTGCTGCTGCTGCTGCGTCGTCGCGCCTTCAGCGGCGGCGGCGGTGGAGCCGGCATAGTAAAACGCCTCCAGAAAATCTTCGTCGGAATCCACTGATGGGCGGCAATCTACCCCCGTATCTGCGCGGCAATCTACTCCCGAATCTGGGCGGCAAGCTACTCCTGCATCTGGGCGGCAATTTAGCCCCGGATTTGGGCGGCTAGCTACCCCTGTGTCGGCCGCCAAACGACTCAAGGAAGGGCCCAGCGGCGAACCGCGCCGCTGCACTGCTGCCGCTCTGCAAAGCGTTTCTAGAAAATCCTCGTCCGAATCGACGGACGGGAGAGATGCTACGCCTACGGAGGGGAGTGTGGCACCGCGATTCCCGTCTACGTTTACGTTTGCGCTTACGTTTGCGTTTGCGTTTACGCGCCGACCTTCCACACCCCGAAGAGTCTCCGCGAAACGCGTTGCTGCTGCACCAGCAGGAGCGGCAGCGGCGGCGGCGGCTGCTGCTGCGCCGTTTTGCGTCGCCGCGACGTCGCGCAGCATTTGAACGAATTCCTCGTCCGAGTCGACCGTGGCACGCTCACCGTCGCATGGCGGTGCAAGCGGCTGCTGCCCGCCGCAAGCGGAAGCGGCGGAAGGGGCGGAAGGGGCGGATGGGCGGAGGCGAGGGCTGCGGGGGCTTCTGGGGGAAGCTCTGGGGGAAGGGGGAGCAAACCGGCCCCTCTCCCCGCGTTGGACGGCGGACGCCGCGGAGCGGAAGCCGCCGTGCGGGGATCGGGGGGACACAGGGGGCTTCCGCGAACGTTCGTCCTCTAGAATATTCGCGTAGATTCCCGTAACGTCCATCGAACGGCTAGGAACGTGCCGATGCTCTTTCGCCGAGCGACTATACTCTCGCGCCAAGCAATTAGAATCCCCACTGACATCCCCCTGAGTGCCGTTCCCCTGACTGCTACCCCCCTGCCTAGAATCCCCCTGCCTGAAATCCTCCTGACTGACATCCCCTTGCCTGCTGTACCAACCCTCGCCTCCTCTCTGACTGACCGAACTCTTCACACCACTCGTCCTCTCACTATCGTAGTACGCGATATTCGCAAAGATACCCGTAACGTCCATTGACCGGCTAGGAACGTGGCGATACTCCTTGCTGGAGCGACAACTGCGAAGCGATTCGGCCTGACTGCTCGTTACGCTACTTATGCTTTCGCTAGCGTTGGACGATACACTGGACTGGCCGTCAAACGAATCTGCCACAAACGGGTTCGCCTGCGACCAGGAATGCTGCCTGGAATGCCGTCGCACGGTCGACCCCGCGCGTCGCAAGCTCGCTGTCGCACTAGTCGCCGCTTCTGCAGTCTGCTGCGCGATTGTCGCCATGCGCCCAGGGGTCGCCCTCCGACGTGAGTCAGGCGACAGAATATCAGCCGAGGAATTACCAAGCCGTTCTCTGGGCGATACTTTGTGCGATTCTTTTGGCGACTGTCTGGGCGACTGAGAATCACGGGATATATTTGATTGCCTCGAAAATTTCCCTCTGGTGAAAGAAGACGGCGCGGTTATTGGGCCTGGCGAGTACACCGGCGAGCAGGAAGACGGACCGTCGGGGGAACCGTCAACTTTGATGGCTAGCCGACTGAAACGACTCGGCTTGACCAACGTAGACGGAGCCGATACGGACAGCGAACGCGGCCTTAAGCGGTGCTCTTGTGACCGTTGATGATGACCCTGGGACAATTGACTTTCCTCTAACCGTTGATCATGACATTGCGACCGTTGATCCCCTCGCAGCTCTTCCCAAACGTCATCCGTACCGTACAAATCTGCGGATTCCTCTCCCATCTCCTGAGCCTCTGAAATTCCGCTTGCACTCGCAGTGCTAGGGTTTGCTAGACCCTGCGTTTTCCCCTTTATGCTACTCTTTCGTGGCAGCTGCTGCTGTCTCTGCGACTGCTTCTGATTAAACGATCCATGTTTCTTCTCTCCTATATCCTGCGTCGTTCGAGTCGCCTCAAAAATCGTGACCCGGGTCGCCTCCTCTTCCCCTCTCCTTCGTATCGCCGGGTCTCCAGATGTTTCAACCGCCGGAACTTGCGTTCCGACGTCTGGCAAAAAAGAATCTGCGACAAAATACTGCGATTCCGGACCGTCGTTCCGAGGTTCCCGCCTGAGCATCTCCTGAAGCTCTCGCCATCCCACGTGGCGATTTGGTTTGCTGTCCGTTACCAATTTCGGCTCCAGATGAAGCTGCTGCTGCTGGTGTTGCTGCTGCTGCTGCTGCTGCGGCTGGTTGACGGCATTGCGACGCTTGCAACTCATTCTGTCTCCTTTGCGACGGGAACCCTAACAGGACGCGCGGTTCAGCCTGGTCCAAGCAACTGACGCTTTCCATTTCCGCTGGTCGCTAAACAGATGAATGGATAGCTACAAGCCAGCGCCGAACATACTCGTTGGACGAGGTTAGTAGAAAATCGAAATTCCTTCAACATGGATTGACTCATATGCACAGCTGCAGAACAACAGCAGATAGTAATCGCTAGGCCTTCAAAATCCTTTTTGTCAAAATCCTAATAACCTAACTCGTGTCTGTCTCATGTCGTCCCGAATAGACTACGCGATCACATTTCAGATGATGTCTGTCTGATGCAGAAACACATTTCAGACCGAGCGATCACTACCATACACAGTGAAGCGACCATGGCAGCCATTGCCGCGTTGGCAGCAGCAACATACTGTACAACAAACGTGGTGGACCGAAGTGCTTTTCGATGAGCCAAAGTTCATTCATCCCACCCGCCTCATTCCCTTCCCTGCCTGACCATGCTCCCTGACCATTTCTCCCCTGACTCTCAACTTCTGCCCCGGTGGCAGACATTTTCTGTAGATCCGTGCACGTAACTCTCCTGTATTATCCTGGGTAAAACAAAACACCATTCACGGCTGTTTTAGGGCTGTGCCTCATAGGCGTGTTCGAAGTGAAATCGCTGAAGCTTTGAGGAATGTCGGTAAATCCCAACGGTTGGAACCTTCAATCCGAGGATTGTGTTTTACCGACGTCCCTCAGACGGATATGGATGCTGACGAACACGCCATAAAAAAAACTTCTAAATATCGTCCACTTCACGAACCTCATGGGGATAGTTCGGGTCAGGAGGAGTTGAAAATGTTGGGACAAATCGCAAAGTAGCTCTGAAACAAGGTTTAATTGGGACGACCTGAAACATACAGTATCAAGGACGGAAAGATCCACGCGCAACAGCGCTTGCCAGAATCCACAAGCCTCGTTTCTACAATGTGACGCAAGAACAGAAGGGAACAAAACCAAACTCGAGGTATGCGGTCCCACATCGCCTCGCCTCGATTGGTCAACACAGCCCCCTCTCGCCAGAAGTACAGCCCCCATGCTGCAGTTTTCTTGAAATTGTCGTTGGTATGTGAGGAAGAGGGTTGCAGTACAGCACATCCTCGGTTCGGAAAATTTCCCGAACTGTAGGTTGCTGCTTAAGGGGTGATCAAAGTGAGGCACCAGCTCGACGTCGAGGGATTTCGGTGAATCCTGACGGTTGGAACTTTTGATCCGAGGGTTGACATTCACCGACGTCCCTCGACGTCGAGCTGGTGCAGCACTTTGATCACCCCTTTACGCAAGGCGGCGCGAAAAGGGACTGTCTTGGCTTCTGACCAACCACTCGTTTGCGGCTCTCTCAAGTTACACGCGGCGTCCTTCAATAGCAATTACAGTACAGTACTTTCATTATCGGCGTTACTCAAGGCAAGGCACCCACACAAATACAAACAGATTAGCATGCCATAACCACCTTTCTACTTCCAGCGTCTCATGCTAACCTATTAGAACCTCGGATACCAGAACATGGCCTTTATTCCCTCAGGATCAGCTTCGAATCCCATGCTCTTGTAAAAGTCCACCACTGAAGGAACAGAAATAGCGCAAAATAGAAGGAACCTTATATTGCTGCCATTGCTTCTTCCAAAAAAACTGGAGTAGGCCAAAACACAACTACTGCTCTAAAAATTGCGCATGGTGATGACATCGGTACAGTACCTTGCGAGTCCGCAAAAAGGGTGATGTTGCCGATATCCCGCCGCAAAAGAGCCCGAACCGTCTGCTCCACTAGAGCCTTGCCCAGGCCTTGACCCTGCGCAATGTGATTCAAGCATGGATTTGAGTTAACGAATAGTCAGTTTTTGCCAATAATTCGTTGCAAAAGCATCCAGGCCTAGACCCTGTGCAAGGAAATTCAGGCATGGATGGGTCGGAATGGGTGCATATACCTACATAAGCATATAAGCCTGAATGTGTAATATACCATCAACACTGACAGACAAGTGTTGCTCTGATATGCGCTTTTAACACCACCACAGTACCTTGAATCTCGGACACCAAGACATTCCAAACATTGGCATTAAAGGTGTGGTTTGACGTAAAAGAATGTGCATCGGGCGTGATTTCAACAAAGTGAATACGACATGTGCTTTAATGCAAACAGCAGTACCTGGAATGTCGGGTCCACCAGCACGTCCCAGATGGTGGCATTAAATTGTGTGGTCTGATGTGGATGCTTCAATGTGCCAAGTGTGATTTGACAATGCTGCAATTACAAGCAAACAACACAGTACCTGGAATCTCGGATCCACCAGAACGTCCCAGATGGGGGCGTTGAACGTTGGTCTGACACAAGGAATGTGCATCACGTGTGGCTTCAACAGCACTGGCACATGTTGCACTTTCAGCAGAAGCAGACACCACACCACACGTCACCTGGAATCTGCGGTCCACCAGCACGTCCCAGATGGTGGCGTTGAACGTGTGGTCTGACGTGGACGAATGTGCATCGGGTGCGATTCCAACAAAGTGCACAAGACATGTGGATTGATGTGGCAATAATTATACCTGGAATCTCGGATCGACAAGCACATCCCAGATGGTGGCGTTGAACGTGTGGTCTGACGTGGCTCGGGCCATGCCTATCAGCTCCCTCTCACCGTCGCCCTCCCCCTCTGTGGGAGTGAGGTAGAGAGAGGCAGAGGAGGGAAAGTGAGGCAGGGACGGAGGGAAGGACGCAGGGAGGGAATGAGGGAGGAGTTAGTGAGAGGAGAGAGTGAGTGAGAGAATGAGAGAGTGAGTGTGAGAATGAGAGAGTGAGTGAGAAATTGAGAGAGTGAGTGAGGAAATGTGTGAGGGAAGGAGGGAGGGAGTGAAGCAGCACGTCCCAGATGGTGGCGTTGAACGTGTGGTCTGACGTGGCGTGGGTCATGCCTATAAGCTCCCTCTCTCTCCCCGCCCCCTTGCCCCCTCTTACTACCCCTCTCCCCCTGCTCAAAACACTATTATGTCTGCCAATTTCCACCTACCTGCAGCACCAGGCGGAGTGGTAATTAGATGGAGTGCGGTAACCAGGTAACTGTTCCGCAGCGCCGCCTCCACCTTCTCAGGGGGCCGTTTCGGCCACCCCACCTTCTCACACAGCCGCTCCAACGCATACACGTCCACCTCGCCACCCGCTGAAAACACTATCTTGCTGCTGCTCCCATCCTCTGCCTTACTCTCTACCAACACCACCTCTCCATACACTCCCTCCTCCTCTTCGTCATCCGAGTCCCCGTCCTCTTCCCCTGAGTCGTCATTATAGTCATCGTCACTCTCAGGGCCTCCCGTGCCTCGAGACGACCTCTCGGCTTCTTCTTTCTTGTCGCCGCCCAACAACCTGGGGAATGGACGTACAACGGAACGTGACACAGAACATGACACGGGATATGACACACGGCATGACACCATATATGGCACATTACTTTCATGGGACAGGAAAAAGGGTACGACAGAGGAGGTGACACCGGAAATGACACTTGAACTGGACAGAACTGAAGATTACATGACACGTCAAACGCCAGCGTCCGTGAGTTGAAACGATTAAAGAGTAAATTGAAATAGTGCCTTCCTAAGGTGATGTAACTGTACCCAACGAAGCGTTACAACCGCACCTAGAAGCCGCTGTAACCGTACCGAGCGAAGAAGCCAAGAGTTGTAACGGCCATGGAGGGGAGGAATGCAGGAAGGGAGAGGGGACGCGCGGGAACGGAAGAAACGCCGACGGAGGCGGGTAGTCCAGCAGCTAACGACGATGAAAGGACTACTGAAAAGGGGAAGACAAGAAATTAGGGTTAGGAGAAACAGGAGGCATAGGGAGAATAGTGGAAGAAATGAACAGATAAACCTCTAAAGAAACTCTTTAACAAAGGACCTTAAACATCATCGCAAACTCAACGTTAGGTACTAAGGTAACGACTTTACTAAAAAGCACTTGTCAGCGCTGTCGTATCTCACTTGCTTGTCTCCTCGGCTTCGCAATGCGATCGTTCACTAGCCGCCGTGCGAGGCTTTGGTCGAAACGCGGTCTCGCGTATGGAAGCACAGTTGCCGCCATGTGCTCGGCTAACAAGAATGACGGAAAGATGAAGCAAAAAATCCAAAGCTTGATCGAAAGCAATCGGTTCTGCGCGCCCCAACGAGCGAGGAATAAGGATAACCAAAGTACTTTTAAAAATAAAACCTATTATAGCTCTACTTGGGCGAGCTCCACCCTAAAATGCGGGTTTCGCCATAAGATATGTTCCCTAATCAGCGTGGAAGAATGGTCGATCCTAATCGCATTTGCGTGGAAATTGTAAGCCCTGATCGCATACCGAATTATTTTGGATAAAGCCATGGATGAGGTGGCCTGTTGCCTCGGTTTTCAATGAGGGCGTGTTTACATAATTCTAAATCAGCACGTACTTTCGAGAATGTTTCGAGAGGTGTCGGATCTTGTTTCTCGCAGGTTTACTGCTGATGACCTTCTCCACACACGCACAGGCATACACACTGAAAGATATGAATGATGCAAACAGGGACTCGAAGCCGCTGGACAGGAGTGCGGATTTCTTCGAGACGCCACGCCAGTACAGTTCAGGTTCAACCCAAGACGTCCTTACCTACCTCGCGTGCTGAAACTAAGTAGTTCAAACTGAAGCAGCAACTCTGGTCACGTGTTCTATCAGCGAGGGGCCGCGAGGCATGCGGGTTGCGTGGGTCCCATAAGCGACTCGGCGGTTGTCGTGCGAAGCCGACCTCATCGCGACTCTTTCAGCAAGCGAAGCGAAATCACTGACGTTTGGATACCACGATTCGTTGACGCATTCCGTCGTCTGTAGCTTCATTCGTAGGCTCCGTGTGTTATCAGGAGTACGGATTTTGCTGCACGTACAAACCCACCTCCCATATTGACTTTTTTTCTGAAACAGCTTTTTCCACCCACAACAATGCCTTCTTTGAGCAATCCATCCTCGTCAGTAGCCGTCTTCGGTAGTGCAGCTCAGGCTCGGATAGTCTTCGTCGTTATTTGCTTATGTTCAGCAGCAACAGCAGCAGCAGCAGCGGCGGCGGCGGCGGCAGCGGCGCATTCGTTCGGACCTCCCTTCGAAGGTCATGGCGTCGCGTCAGCAGCAGCTGGTGGACTGTCGCTATCCGCGTCTGCCGTGGGGTTGGATCAGAGACGGAGGGCCAGCGGCAGCAGTGCCTCGTTACTTCAAGAGTCTCCCACCAAACGGTAGCATCACTGTTCATTGTACTCGTTTGAAGCTTCCCAACTGCTATGTTATAGTCAACCTCCGCGTCTGCCTTGTATAAGCGATGGAGAGCCAGCGGCAGCAGTGACTCGTTACTGCAGAGGGAGACGGGGAGAGTGTGAGATGTCGACTCGACTGAAATGAGAGTGTGAGCCTGAGCTGCTGATTCTCTTTCCATTCCCATCACAACCCCCTGTGCTCCGCAGATCTCTCAAGAGTGCAGAGGGAGGGGCGCGGGGGACGTGTGCCCAGTGTAAGGAGCAGCTGAAGGAGCTCCAAGAATGGTTCGCAGGTGTGCAGTGCGGTGAAGAGGTGTGCATGCTGTTGAGAGTGCGTAGTGCGGTTAGGTATCATATCACCGTTGGGCGAGAGAGAGGGGGGGTGGGGGTTGGGGGGATGTTGGGGCGTGATTTTCCAGTGTAAACAGCATCTGAAGGAGCTTCAAGAGTGGTTCGCAGGTTTTCTGTGAGGTGGGTAGTGGTTCAATCACCTTTCATTCTCCACAGTCCCTCCCTTGCTCGCCTTGACAGGTGTTGAAGCAAGCAAGCTGGGCGATGCGGGCAAGCTGGGCGATGCGGGCAATGAGGGGCAGCAGGGGGGAGGGATTGTTGACTGATATAATTCCTGCCCCACTAACCCTCATCAGCGCTCCTTCCCTCCCTTGCTCCCCTTGGCAGGGGTTGAAGCAAGCAAGCTAGAGGATCAGGGCAGTGAGGGGCAGCAGGGGGGAGGGAGGGTCGACTTATCACCTTCTATTCCTGCCCCGTTCACCCTCATTTGCACTCCTTCCCTCCCTCGCCTTGGCAGGGGTTGAAGCAAGCAAGCTAGAGGATCAGGGCAGTGAGGGGCAGCAGGGGGGAGGGAGGGTCGACTTATCACCTTCGATTCCTGCCCCGTTCACCCTCATTTGCACTCCTTCCCTCCCTCGCCTTGGCAGGGGTTGAAGCAAGCAAGCTAGAGGATCAGGGCAGTGAGGGGCAGCAGGGGGGAGGGGGAAGGGGCGGAAGGGGAGGGGGCGGAAGGGGAAGGGGAGGCGCGGGGGGGAGGGGCACAGAGGCGGACGATGTGATGGAGCTGCAGAGTCGACTGGTGGAAAAGCAGGGGGAACTGAAACGGTTGAAGGCTGAGTATGAAGCTCTACAGGTGGGTTCTGTGTGGTGCAGGTCGGTATGAGGCTGAATGGGGGAGGGGCACAGAGGCGGACGATGTGATGGCGCTGCAGAGCCGACTGGTGGAAAATCAGGGGGAACTGAAACGGTTGAAGGCTGAGTATGAAGCTCTACAGGTGGGTTCTGTGCGGTGCAGGTCGGTATGAGGCTGAATGGGGGAGGGGCACAGAGGCGGACGATGTGATGGAGCTACAGCGCCGAGTGGTGGTTCAGAGGCTAGGGGGACAGAGGCAGACTGCAGAGCCGAGTGGTGGAGAAGCAGGGCGAGCTGAAACGGTTGAAAGCGGAATATGAGGCCGTGCAAGTGAGATTGCACATGGCTGGTGGGTGCAGGTTGGCTGGTGGGCTGATGGGACATCTGACATGAGGTAAGGCGGGGGAACGGAGGAGTTTTGAGACGTCTCAAAACACTTCTTCAATCACGTGCAAATGGCTGGTGGGTGCAGGTTGGGTGGGCTGATGGGACATCTGACATGAGGTAAGGCGGGGGAACGGAGGAGTTTTGAGACGTCTCAAAACACTTCTTCAATCACGCGCAAATGGCTGGTGGGTGCAGTGCAGGTTGGGTGGGCTGATGGGACATCTGACATGAGGTAAGGCGGGGAAACGGAGGAGTTTTGAGACGTCTCAAAACACTTCTTCAATCACGTGCAAATGGCTGGTGGGTGCAGTGCAGGTTGGGTGGGCTGATGGGACATCTGACATGAGGTAAGGCGGGGGAACGGAGGAGTTTTGAGACGTCTCAAAACACTTCTTCAATCACGTGCAAATGGCTGGTGGGTGCAGTGCAGGTTGGGTGGGCTGATGGGACATCTGACATGAGGTAAGGCGGGGGAACGGAGGAGTTTTGAGACGTCTCAAAACACTTCTTCAATCACGTGCAAATGGTTGGTGGGTGCAGGTTGGGTGGGCTGATGGGACATCTGACATGAGGTAAGGCGGGGGAACGGAGGATGGGCACAGGGGCGGACGAGGTGATGGAATGGAACTGCAGAGCCGAGTGGTGGAGAAGCATGGGGGCCAGAAACGACTGAAAGCAGAATATGAAGCCTCGCAGGTGAGCTGGTGGCTTGCAGGGCAGGGCAGGTTGCTGTGAGTCTGAATGGGGGAAGGGGCACAGCACAGAAGCAAGGACGATGTGATGGAGCTGCAGAGCCGACTGGTGGAGAAGCTGGGGGAGCTCAAACGACACAAGGCAGAGTATGAGGCGTTTCAGGTGGGTTCTATGCGGTGCAGGTCGGTGCAGGATGCAGGGCAGGTCGTTCGGAGGCTTGGGGGACAGAGGCAGACTGCAGAGCCGACTGGTGGAGAAGCAGGGGGGGCTGAAACGGTTGAAAGCCGAATACGAAGCTCTGCAGGTGTGTTCTGTGCGGTGCAGGTCGGTATGAGGCTTGGGAAGGCAGCGGTGGATGTGAAGTGAAGCTAACCTAGTCTAGTCGTCTGTGCCTGTCTGTCTTTCCCCTCCTTACATCCTTACACCCTCTCCCTCCCACTTTGCTGATTTCATCCTTTTCAGAAGCGGCACGAGAAGGTGAATGCGGACAAGGCTGTCGGTCTTGTCTTGTGTGCCTGTGTTTCAGCCCTTACACGACTCCTTCATCCACCCTTTCTCTACACCCATCTCCCTTCTCGATTTGATCCTTTTCAGAAGCGGCACGAGAAGGTGAATGCGGACAAGGCTGACTTTTGAGTCGACTCAAAAGTCAGCTCTTTTGAGTCGACTCAAAAGTCTCTCGATTTGATCCTTTTCAGAAGCGGCACGAGAAGGTGAATGCGGACAAGGCAGCGCTGGACGTGAAGCTGACTGAACCTCCTGTGCCTCTCTTTTTACCCCTTCCACCCCTCTGTTCCCCTCCCAACCTTCTTCTACCCATTCACATCGTCAGAAGCGGCACGAGAAGGTGAATGCAGACAAGGCAGCACTAGATGTGAAGCTGACCGAGTCGGGGGCGGATTGGGGCAAGAAAGCAATCACCAAGGAGGTGGGTGCTGGGGGGGAGAGGAGGGAGAGGTTGGTTGGGAGAGTAGGAAGGGGGTTGCCAACTTGTGAAGCTGACTGAATTGGGGGCGGATTGGGGCAAGAAGGCCATCACCAAGGAGGTGCGTGGGAGGGGGGATGGGGTGGGTATGGGAGGGAGGGGAGGGGGTGGGCTGGCTGGGGGAGTGGGAAGGGAATGGGGTTGCGCGAGCGTCAACCAACGTGTGAAGCTGAAAGAGTCAGGGGCGGATTGGGGCAAGAAGGCCATCATCAAGGAGGTGTGTGTATGCGACTTTTCTGTGTGGGAAGGGAGGGGGAGAAGGGGGAAATTTTGTTCATGCATGCATCAATGCTGCAAACGAGTATCGACCAGCTTCTGAAGCAGACCGAGTGGGGAGAGGATTAGGGCAAGAGGCTTCAGAAGCAGACCGGCGGCGCTCACCTCTTGCCCTGAAGCAGACCGAGTGGGGAGAGGATTAGGGCAAGAGGTGAGCGCCGCCGATCGCCAAGGAGTATCATTTGTACTTGCTTTTTTCTGCGTGCCATTGCTGCGGCTTTTGAGTCGACTCAAAAGTCACCAAGAGGCGAGCTGTACTCAAAAGTCGATCGCCAAGGATTATGCTTTGTGCTTGCTTGTGCTGCTTGCTTGTGCTGCTTGCTGTTGCTGCTTGCTGTTGCTGCGGCAAGTTCTGAGAAGTCTTGAGATTCACTAACAGTTCCCCCTCGTCTTTCCCCCTCTTTTTTCCCCCTGTTCTTTTCCCCTCTTATTCCCATCCTCCCCCCCAGGCGCTGAGCAGGGCAACGGAGCTTCTGCAAAGGTGCAAACCCCAGACAGGCCCTATAATTTCCAAGAAGGTTCCTAGCTGGAAGGTGGGTGGGGTGGGGGGAGACGGGCGTGAGGGCAGGGAATTAAGGGAGGGGTGGTTGTGTGTACGGGCTATATTGAAATCACTTTTGAGAATTCTCAAAAGTGATTTCAATGGAGACGGGCGTGAGGGCAGGGAATTAAGGGAGGGGTGGTTGTGTGTACGGGTGTCTTTTACGACTCATACCACCTTGTTACATCGATACAGCGTATAAAATGGCTGGCCGGAAGATGTCGGTTTTTTGTGCCACCACCGTATTACACCTTACCACTCCTTTGAAAAATCTCATAAGTGATTTGAACATGGTTGTGTGTGCGTGCGTGTGCCTTTTATATGCAAAATGGCTCGCTGGAAGATGTCTGTTGTTGTGCCTACACCTTATTGCACCTGTAAACCAACCTTCCTGTCCACATCCTTCCATCCCCCTTACAGGGTTACTCGTGTTCCGCTACAGAGCGTGAGCTGCAACGCTACATGGACTTTGAGACGAGGGGCATGTGTCCTGACGACTGGCTGTTCGTTCAAGATTTGATTTTCCGCAAGCAGTGCCACTCGCTGCCCAAGCGACGCTGCCTTGCTCGCACGGCACACAAGATAGTGGAGGTGGGTCGTTGTTTGGGTGGAGGATGTTGGGATGAATACCACTTTATCTTTTGCAAGCAGTGTCACTCAGTGCCCAAGAGGCGCTGCCGTGCTCGCACTGCTCACAAGATGAGGTGGGAGGGTGGGAGGGTGTGGGTGTAGGTGGTGTGTGTGTGGGCGTTTGTGAGACGACGGGCAGGGCGTGTGTCCTGACGATCGGCTGGGTGCAGTGCAGACTGGGAGGTGTGTGGGGAATGACTGGCTGTTGGTCCAGGACCTCATCTTCCACAAGCAGTGCCACTCGCTGCCAAAGAGGCGCTGCCTTGCTCGCACTGCACACAAGATAGTGGAGGTGGGTGGGAGGGTGGGTGGCTGGGTGGCTGGGTGGCTGGGTGGGTGGGTGGATGTTTAGTGAGTGGGAAGGCTACATGGGGAACAGATGGGGAGAACGCACTCAGTGCACTGGAACAGCCACGCCCTCTCTTCCTCCGCCTGCCCCACCTTCCCTCTTCCCTTCTCCTGACCTCCTTTCCAAGACCTGTCCCTGCTGCAGGCAGCCCCTGTCAAGACCTACCTCCCCTGTGCTCTCAATCCCCCCTTGAAGACTCCTCAGTGCGGTGGAACAACCATGCCTGCTCCTCCTTCGCCTGCCTCACGTCTCTCCCTCCTTGCTTCCCATCTTCCCCTACTGTTTTCCCTTCTTCTTCCTCCTCCCGTCAACAGCCCCTGGCAAAACCCGCATCTCTCTTCTCTCAATCCGCCCTGCAAGACGCCTCAGTGCGGTGGAACAACCACGCCTTCTCCTCCTTCGCCTCCCTCAACGCCCTCTCCCCCTCCGCTCTCGCCTCTGCCACGGCCGGCACAGGGGACGCCTGCGGGCGGCAGCCGGGCGGCGGCGGTTGTTGGAACATGAGCGCGGAGGAGAGGAGATGGATGGCCAGGCCGCCCAAGAATACAGCAGCGGGAGGGGCGCTTACTGTGAAGGAGGCCATTGCGATCAAGAAGGGAGCGCTGAGGTGAGTTGAAAGTGGTGAGGTGAGGAGTGAGAAATGAGGTGGGTTTGGGACGATTGTAGAGGGGACGGTTTGTGACGAGGCATGAGTGCGGAGGAGAGGAGGGGCCGCTGAGGTGAGAAGGGGAAGGTGAGTTTGGTCCCCTTATGTCTCCTGTTCTTTCCTGCGTACCTCTTCTCTTCTGTTCTTCCTTTTTTCTCTCCCCTGTTCTCTCCCCTTACTGAGTCGCTTCCATTTCAGAATTGGGTTGGATTTCAACGGAGGGTCGGGCTCGTTCGCAGCGCACATGGCGAGACACAACGTGACCATGATGACGTCAGCAATGAACCTAGAGGCCAACGTGGGGCGCAAGAAGGGTCTGCCTTTCTTGGAAACAATCGCCCTGAGAGGACTTGTTCCCCTCTGGCTTCCCTATAAGGTGGGTGGGTTTGTAGCACTGTATGTTGCAATACAAGGGGCTTCCCTTCTTAGAGACTATTGCCCACAGGGGTCTTGTTCCCATCTGGCTGCCCTATAAGGTGGGTGGCTGTGTCTGTTGCAATACAAGGGGCTGCCCTGTGAACCTCGAGGCCAACGTGGGGCGCAAGAAGGGTCTTCCCTTCCTGGAAACAATTGCTCTGAGGGGACTTGTTCCCATCTGGCTGCCTTACAAGGTGGGTGTGTCTGTTGCAATACAAGGGGCTGCCCTGTGAACCTCGAGGCCAACGTGGGGCGCAAGAAGGGTCTTCTCTTCCTGGAAACAATTGCTCTGAGGGGACTTGTTCCCATCTGGCTGCCTTACAAGGTGGGTGTGTCTGTTGCAATACAAGGGGCTGCCCTGTGAACCTCGAGGCCAACGTGGGGCGCAAGAAGGGTCTTCCCTTCCTGGAAACAATCGCTCTGAGAGGACTTGTTCCCCTCTGGCTTCCCTATAAGGTGGGTGTGTCCGTTGCATGAATTGCTGCGCACGGTGTGGGAGGGAGGGGGATGAGCCTCGCGGCCAATGCAGGGCGAACGAAGGGTCCGCCCTCTCTGGAAGGATTTTTGAGGCGCCTCAGGGCAAGCCCAGTTCAACTCGTTGGTTCAAAATCGTCTCAGGGCGAATGAAGGGTCCGCCCTCTCTGGAAGGAAATCATCGCTCTCAGGGGGCTCATGCCGATGTGGCTGCTGTGGCACGATGAGGGGAGGTTGATGACCCGGGAAACCATTGTGGTGTGGTGAGGTGAGGTGAATTGAGGGTAGGTGGGGTTTTATGATCACTGAAAGAAAAAGGCTTCTCTCCAACCGCTTCTTTCCCCCACTTCCCCCACAACTTATTCGCCCTGCTTCTTTCCCCCCCAGCTTCTTAATCTGAGCTTTCCCTCCCCCGCTTTTGTCATTCCCATCATCAGGTCCGTTTGCCATTTTATGACAACACGTTGGACATTCTTCACGCCTCCAACGCCATCAAGTTCATGCCGTCTCCTGCTGAATTTGAGGAGGTTCTGTTCGAGTGGGACCGCGTGCTGAGAGTCGGTGAGTTGGTGATAATAACACACTTTCGACAAATTCTTCATGCCACCAACGCCATCAAATTCATGCCGTCGCCCGCTGAGTTTGTACAAGTCCTGTTCGAGTGGGACCGCGTGCTACAAGCCAGTGAGTTGGCCTTTCAGCAACCTGCACATGCCACCGTGTGCAGTCCTATCTATTGGTCTTGAATCTGCTCAAGTACCGATACCTCAACTGGAGCCTCACCCCCCCCCCCCCCTCGCCTATGCGATCTCCCTCCCTTGATATGCCTCTCTTTTCCGTCCCAATCCCTGACTGTATTACGTCTCCTTCAATTAGGTGGCGTGATGTGGTTCGAGGAGTTTACCGCCTCGGCAGCAGAAATGCCGTCCTACCTCTCAGTGCTTGATCTGCTCAAGTACCGCCACCTGCATTGGAGCCTCACGCCCCCCAAGGCCATGATTGGCAAACCGGCCGGCACCGTCATTCTGCACTGCCTGCTCGAGAAGCCCATGCGGAAAGACTTGTGATTCTAGTGGTGTGTTACTGATACAATACTCTTTGCCACTAATCTTGTCAGTGCTGGACAGTGCTAGATCTGCTGCAGTACGCCAGCTGAATTAAGCCTCGCTCACCTCACCCCCCCCTTAGGCCATGATTGGCAAGCCTGCTAACACTGCCTTTCTGCGGAAGGGCTTGTGATCTCCTTGATTGTGTTCACATTGAGCTTATAAAATATGGCTGGCAAGCCTGCTAGCACTGTCAGTCATCCAGCACCACCTGCTGGAAATCTCAGTAACTAAACACAGCGGAATGACTTGCATTGATTGAGTTGGGGTACAAGTACCTAACCCTAATTGTTTGTACCCCATATAGTATGACCCACTAAGGGCTATAACATTTGACACACCCCCATAGCCTAAGTGGGGAATGCCAAGTAACAGAACACAACCTAAGGTCACAAGACCAGTCACAAGCAAGCGAGAAAACAAAGCTCAGGGTGGATCTCAACGTCACCACACATTCTGAGCACAAACAAGTGGCCACAAGGCCAGTTCAAGAGTGTACAAGCTAATATATATATGGTACAAACAAGCAAGAGGCAAGAACTCACTACTGCAGTCTACTAGACCCAGTCTCAACAAGGCCTAACTGCAGACAAAACCGGCGGTGGTCACAAGGCTGAAGAGCCTTGGTGAAGATGTCTGCAGTGTTGGCCTCGGAGGCCACAAAGTCCAGACGTGCCTGTCCACGTCTCTGCAACTCTCGAAGGAGGAAGTACCTGACGTCGATATGCTTCACCCTGCTCTCCAGTCGAGGCTCACGACACAGGAGAATCATCGCCTTGTTGTCAGCAAACAAGGTCGGTGCAGAGCTCGGCCGCTCACCAAGGTCAGTGAGCAAGAAGGTCAACCAGCGTAGCTCCTGTGCAGCGAGGGCTCCAGCGTAGATCTCGGCCTCTGCGGTAGAAGTCGCAACAGAGGAGGACCGAGTAGACCTCCACGAAACAGCTCCAGAGCCCAGGCTGAAACAGTAACCCTGTGTAGACCTCTGTGACTCAACGTCGTCGGCGTAGGAGGAGTCGCAGTGACCGGTGAGTACAACTGGCTGTGTCCCTCCAAGTACAAGCCCCATGTCTGATGTCGCGCCGAGGTACTTCGCCACCCTCTTAGCTGCCGCCCAGTGAACAGGACGGTGTCTCCCTGTCGCAACAAAGCGAGAAAGGATGCTAAGAGGGAAGGCGAGGTCCGGGCGAGTGCACGTCATCAGGTACATGAGGCAGCCCACCAACTCTGCGTAGGGACCACTGGGCTCGAACGGCTCGTCAGGAAAAGGCCCAGTGAGTCTGTGGTCTACAGCAAGAGGGGTGGGAGGAGGAGAGGAGTGCTGAAGCCCGAACCGCTGAAGGACCTGCTGCACCATGTGTGACTGAGTCAGAGTGATGGTGCGAGCGGCTCTGTCCCTGGAGATCTGCAGGCCAAGGTAGCGGCGCAGTTCCCCAAGGTCAGTGCAGGTGTGTCTCTTCTGCAGTTCGGACTTCACCTCCGCCAGTGCAACTGTGTCGGCTGTGGCAAAAACCAGGTCGTCAACGTAGACAAGAACAAAGAAAGGTGTGCGCCCACGACGAACAAACAGCGACGGGTCGGCGGAAGACGGCTCAAACCCAAGGTCGGACAGAGTAGAGCGGAGAGTGTCGTGCCACTCACGGGGTGCCTGGCGGAGACCGTAGACCGGTCGTCTGAGGCTCCACTGGGTCCCAGGCGGGAAAGTGCCAGTGAAGCCCGGAGGACGACGCAGCCAGATCTCCTCGTGTAGGCTGCCCTGCAAGAAGGCAGTGGAGAAGTCGAGAGAGTGTAGCTCGTAGTCTCTCTGCGCTGCTACGTGCAGTAACACCCGAAGAGTGGTCATCTTCGGGGTGGGCGCAAAGGTCTGAAAGAAGTCAACTCCCTCACGCTGACTGAAACCTCTAGCCACGTAGCGTGCCTTGAAGACTGGAGGAGATCCCGGCGGCCGCTTCACCTTGAAGATCCACATGCCGTCAACAATGTTCGCCCCTGGGGGGGGAACCTCGTCAACGTAAGTGCCTGTGGACCTGTAGGAGGCCATCTCTGCGTCCATGGCAGCTCTCCACTGAGAGGCCCAAGGCCCTGACACTGCCTCAGCGTAAGTGCGAGGAGTAGGTATGTCAGGAGCGTCGGGGTCTCCCTCAGGAGCGAGCAGCATGGCACAGAGATGAGGTGAAGCGGCTGCCAGGAACTCTAGCTCAAACTGTCTATCCTCTAGGACGGCACAGCCAAGGGCAAACTCACCCCCGGCGGACAGAGGACGGACAGGAGGAGCCGCCACAACGCGAGTGGCGTAGTCAAGGCGACGCGTAGCAGTAAAGTCTGTGACAGCGGCAGTGAGGACCGCGACGGAGGAAGGAGAGGCACGAGGGTCTGTAACAAGAGAGGCGAGAACACGAGAGAGAGTGGGGCGGTACGTGCGGTAGTAGTCAGTGACCGGAGTGGACAGGGAGGCAGTGAGGGACGACTCAGGAGGACGAGGAAGAACAGACGGAGGAGAACGAGGAGGACTAGGACGAAACAACACGGTACGAAGGTCACGGACAGGTGACGAGGGACGAGCACGAGGAGGACGAGAGGCCCAAGTGTGGGAGAGAGGAGTGGGAGACGGAGCGGGAGACGGAGGAGACTGAGAACGAGGGAACACAGCCGGAGCTGAGTCCGGAGGAGGAAACGTCGGACCGAACACAGGAGGAGAGGAGGAGGGGAGACCAAGGGCCCGAAGGCCAGTAACAGAGGCCGGAGGCTGCTCCGGCTGCTGCGGCGGCTGCTGCTGCTGCTGCTGCTGCTGCTGCTGCTGCTGCTGCTGCTGCTGCTGCTGCTGCTGCTGCTGCTGCTGCTGCTCCCGCTGCAACTCCAGCCTCTCACGCTCCACCCGCTGCTGAACCTCCAACCTCTCACGCTCCAAACGCTGCTGCTCCTCACGCTCAAGACGAAGACGGGTCTGGTGTCGAGTCAGGTAGGGGTGAGGAGGAGGAGTGGTGTCAGGAGACGAAGAAGAAGAACCGGCTCCGCCCTCGACAGCACCCGGCTGAGAACCCCCAGAGCGTGTACCCCCTGCGGCAGCACGACTAGCACCTGTAGGAGGTGGACCCGCACCCCCAGTCGGGGTGCCTCCAGTGGCACCAGCACCAGCCTCAGACTCTCCAGCTCCAGAAACACCACCAGCTCCAGCACCACCACCAGCTCCAGCACCCTCGGAACGGGCAGCCGCGGCAGGTGCACGCTCAGCGCCAACGCCAACACCCCCAGAACGGGCGGCTCCTGTAGGTGCACGAACAGCTCCAACGCCAGCACCCCCAGAGCGAGCACCGCCAGAGCCCTCACCCCGAGCACCAACACCCTCAGAGTCCGCAGTGGCCGGTAAAGGAAGCGCTGACGGCTGCTGCGGAGGCTGTGAGGACGACTGTGGGGAAGGAGGAGAGACCTGGGGGGGTACCGAGGGGGGGGGAGTAGCGTGGGACACACCAGACGGAGCAGGACCAGGGGGGGGTACCGGAGGAGCAGGGGCGGGAGGAGGAGGAGCTGGAGCCAGGAAGAGGGGAGGGGGGGGAACCGGGAGACCTCGAGAGGGGTACCTGACGTAGTAGGGGACGGACTCGTCGAAACGGACGTCACGAGAGTCAAAGAACCGGTGGGAGGGTGGGTGGTAAAAGGTGAAGTCAGAGGAGCCCTCTGGGAAACCAAGGAAGACACAGGGGACGGCGCGAGGCGAGATCTTGTCCGCAGAGGTGTCGCGGACAAGAGCCAAGCAGCCCCAGACACTAAACCTCGACGCAACACCAGGGGACCCTGTCCAAAGACTGGTCGGTGAAGCCCCTGGCCGAGAGACGCGAGGCCAGAGGTTCAGCTGGTGAGCGGCGTACCGAGCCGCGTAGGGCCACAGAAAATGGGGCGCGCGGGCGTGGATCATGGAGGTGCGGGCGATCTCCATGACCAGGCCTAAGCGGCGCTCAGCAACCCCATTCTGCTGTGGAGAGTCTGGGAGAGTCCAGGACTGGGTGATGCCCTGCTCAGCACAGAAACTGGCGAGAATGCCGGAGCGAAACTCACCCCCACGGTCGGAGTGGAGACAACTGACACGACGACCACGAGTGCCCTCGGTGGCGAGGAGCCACCGGATCAGCGTAGAAGTCACGTCGGACTTCTTCGCCAAGGGGAACACGGTGGTGTACCGAGAGTAATCGTCAACGACCACCAGAAAGAAACTCTCCCGCTCAGGGCCAAGGCGGGAGGCGGGGCCCCAGACGTCTAAGTGGAGTGTCTGGAAGGGCTCGGTGGCCGGACGAAGGGAGGAGGAGTGGGGGGTGGCGCGAAGCCGACCCTGGACACAAGGACCACACGGAGGAGCTGGGGACGGCGGGAGTGGTGGGAGGACTCGGGGGAGGCCTAAGACAAGACGCTGACTGGACATGGCGCGCAGACGAGGAAGGGACGGGTGCCCCATCCGGTGGTGCCACAGAACGGTGGGGTGGGCAAGCGACCGACACGAGCACGACGCAGCAACTACACCTGACACAGCAACCTGACTGGACCCGGCTACCTGGTGGGACGGGGGAACCTGACGGGGGTCGGTGCGGAGGGTGTACAGACCAGAGCCCGGCTCCTGGCGGAAAGTGGCCAAGGGGGCGTACGTGTCACCGTCGACGCAGACTGCGGTGTCACCAGAAGGCTCAACCCAGACCCCGACGTGCTGTCTCGCCAGGGTGCCCACACCAACCAGGTTCCTAGAGAACGTAGGAACGTGGAGGCCGGTCAGGGAACCAGAAGGAGCAGCTGGGCACGGGAGTGTAGTGGCGTGAGTCGCAATGACCGGTCCCGAGGAGGGATCGGCCAGTGCTACAGGGACAGGTGCCGGTAGCGGAGAGAGAGTCGTGCAGTCGCGGAAGAAGCAGTGCGACGCTCCTGAGTCCAGTGTGAAGGAGAGAGACGCGTCCGCCGAGGGAGTACCTGTACTAGTAGCT